TCTTCCAAAATTTTTTACAAAAAGTGGGGATTTGGCTTACCCCCTCCAAAAGATCAGCATTGTTTACTTTCCAAATTTGGATGGACTCAGTAGAATGCAACTACGTGACGTGTCTGTTTACAAATACGGTGCTACTTCTGGAAAGTTGGATCGGGACCTCCGGTTAAAGAGATATCTGAAAGTGATCATAAGTCAGAAAACTTTGTACATTAAGGCAAAGCTTTATATTAAAGATATACAATCGTTGCATTTGTTATATAATTTTTTCAGCCTTGCACAGGTTATAATGGTGCATTCTGGTTATGTAAAGAGGTGAAATTTCTCTCAAACTGTTATCTTTTTTCTATAAAATGTTTTTTTTTTCTTTTTTTATTTTTATATTTTATTTATTTTTCCCTACTCCCCCCTTTTTTACATCTCCTTTTTAGTCATAGTTCGTTTTCGTTTTTTTTTTTATAGATTTTTTGATAAGATAATTCTAGCTTGTCTATGAGTTAGTGCAATGAGTTGCATTAAGGACTATAAGGTAACTGAATGAAGTTGGGCTTGTAGTTCTATAAATTAAATGCGTATAGTTTATATATGTTGTTAATAAAAGCAAAGCCATGGCAATTCCCATGAAGTTTAAAAAAAAATAAAAAATAAAAAAATAAAATTATCGTCATAAAAAAAAGAAAAAAAAGAAGATATATTAGTACTTGAAGACTGGGTTCATTAGTAAATATTAATTGATTTTGAATATTAAATGAAATATTGATATGGGTAATAGTTTCTATTTTTTTATCAGGTGTTATATAATTCATTTTTTTAAATCTCAGATTCAAAAAGGCAGCTACTAAACTAATAGGTGACAGTTCAAACCATTTTGATAACATCGATTGATTTATTTTACTACAGCAAGATTTTATTACTGTTGATGTAATTCTCAGATAAAAGTTTTGTAAATAGCATGAAAGCTTAATAAGAGTAGATATCATTATTCCTAAAGTTGGGTATTGATTTCTCCAACATATCTGGTCGTTTGCGCAAAAGGATGCAAAAAGTTTGTTAATTTATCTAATAAATTTCATTTTTCAACTGATAAAAGAAGTTCTGAAATTTTTGTTTCATCTTGTCTTTTTAGTCAATTAATGCTTTGTTTTAAATCATTAGCTAGCCATTCGATAGCATTACGAAGAAGAAGAAGATTTTTTAAAAAATTATAGATTGAGTTCTAGCAGGTTCTAGTATTACTTAAAAGAGAGCTAATTAAATGTTGTGGATTTAATGTTGCTTGTAATATACGAAGTTGCTCATGGTATTTATCTTTACCATTTACATAACTATTTAATTCTTTTGCTTTACTAATCAAGCTATTAATTTCTGTAATATTAAATCTATCTCCTAATGCAAGCTGAATCATATGTGCCATATAGCCTATATATAGGATTTGTAAAATTATTATCTTTAAAGTAATTTTTATTTAATTTAGAGAACAGATATTTTTACCTATATGCTTAATGCCAAGTTGATCCATTGCTTTAATCATTGAAGCAGAATTGTCAGTCAATACACCAAAAAGTTTATTGTATATTCCCCAATTGCCAAAAAGTTGTCAGCAGAAGTCTTCAATTCGATCACCAGTATATGGGTAATCAAACTTTTGGATTGTAAGAAGGGCTTGGTATAAAGAGAATTCAGGACTAATCCAATGAATAGTTACGGCAATGTAAGATTGGTGTGCTTGAAACCACAGGTCTGTTGTAAAATAGAAAGAATTCATTGTTGTTTGTAATATATCTTTAAGCTATCATTCAGCAAATAATACTGATTGCATTAATTTTTCTTTTAGTTGATCATAATATGGAAACTTGAATTTCGGCTCACACTCAAGAATAAAGTCTCGAAAGCAGTTATTAGTAGTGGCATTAAAAGGTTAAAGATCATCTACAATCCAAGCTAAAATACGATTTGCAATTTTTTTCTTGTTTTAAAAAAGGTAGAGATGTTTTTTTGTTCATAAAATCATCTAATGATGACTGGTTTGAAACAATTTTGGTTAATGAATTGCTATTGTTATTTTCAGGAGGCAAAATTTTATGAATTTGGTGAAGATGTGCCTTTAAATTTCCTGTTCCAGTTGTTAATTCGTAATCGTGATTGCAGGATTCTTCATTACTATCATCATTCGTGACTTTAACTTGGCAGTATATCTTTTTGTCAGGCTGGCTTCGTCTAAAATAAAACCACACCCAACTTTTTTCTTTTTGTTTAGTGTGAATATAGGTTTTCTTTTTTCAAACTCGTTTACCTAAGCTATTTGTAATAGTGACGCTAGTATTTTGTGATATGGCTTAATCTAGTGTGCTTGAATTGGATTTAGAATCTAAATTATATATATTTCTTTCTATACCTGGTGTATCTAACTCAAACTCATCTTTATTAGACCAGGTTATAGTAACATTGTAAGAGCTAAGGTGATTAGAATCAGAGTCATTTATTAACATTATGTTTTAAATTTTGTTTACTAGAACTTTTTTATTGTGAGCAGAAAAAAAATAAATAGAGTGAATTATTTTAATGCTTATTACTTTAATTTGTTTATATACTTTTTTTTTATAGGTTTTGTTGACCAAATTCATGTTTCAATCAAATTCATACATTCTGATCTATCATTGATAACTTATAATCTAATGATTCAATCTTGATGTTCTGATATTATTCAGAGCCTCGTATTAAAAATATCAAGATTTAATTACTAGATTGCAAGTTATCAATGATAGATCAGAATGTATGAATTTGATTGAAACACGAATTTGGTCGACAAAACCCATATATTAATTTTATACTGTAATTTAAATTTTTTTTTTTAGATACCTGGTTAGTCGCGTTCTCGTAGAATGAGATTTTATTTTCTTATCTGAAGCAAAAATAACTTTCACAATCAGAATAATATATGCAATTATATCTATATAGTGGCAGGCTAGAGTTCTAATCTATAAGTCATTTATCTATTTATTTATTGAATATCTGCTAAAATAGATTAATAGATACAATTACAAGTTCTAAGGTATATAATTAACATTATAATAGAATAATTCTATTTTCATCCAAATAAAAATAGAATTTCTCTAATTTATATGGTTAATTACTTTATAACTTGTAATCTCTGATATATTAGATAATTTGGTTAAATCTATTCGGATATCCAATCTAGTAAGATGGATATTCCATGTGAATAAATGGATAGCAGATTAATCCTCTACGGCAAATATGATATATCATTGCTAAGCAAGATACCCATGAATATTTTGTAAGTTTTTTTTTTTATTGGCATTTTATATTATCTAAATTTATTCGGTAACAAATTAGTATTTACATTGCTTTAAAAAAAAAATTACAATTATTTATAGTTTGAATTTAGAAATTACTTTTGCTAAACAAACAAGAAAAGCTAGATTGTATGCATCAATAATGATGTCAATTTATGAACAATAATAGTATATATTTATGCATGCATGCATATGCATTTGCTTATCATTACAGTATTATTATTATGAATTTACAGTATATTATATTATTCAACACTATCTTTATTTAGTGACCAGAAACTTATTGTAACAAAAATTACGTAGAATCTGGCTGAAGAAAAAATAGATTATTAGTAAATACTGTAAAGCCTATGCCTAAAATAAGTATTTTTTTTTTTGTTTTATTTTTTGTTAAAAAAATTATCAAATATTTTAAAATTTTTGTTTAACTAAAGATCGTCACTTTCATCACAGCTGCTAGTAGTTGAATTCTTTAATATAGTATTAGAATTTCAAACATCCTACTTAGCCATACTTGAATAGATTTAGCCACATTTTATTGATAATCTATTTTCAATACAGTATATTAACAAAGTATTTTTTTAAGATATTTCGCAAATAGCATAGAGAATATTTCTTAGCAATCTATCTCGACTATATTATATATTTATAATATAGAGTTCCAACCCAGTTAGCGTTTATTATCAAGTATCCAAATCTGAATTTATTCAGATATCTATTTACTATCACTATTTATTTATATACAATATCTGAATATCTGTTAGATTATCTGGATATCAATAGTAAACAGATATTTGAATAAATCAGATATAGACGGATTTATCTGAATTGGAACTTTATTATAATACAGTATTATACTATATAGATATGAAATAACACACAAGTATTATTTCAAAAATTGTATTCGTTAAAATATTATACTTTACTTTGATTCAAATGTGTTTTGAAATAATGCCCACTTTGTATTAGGCTTAAAATTTTATCTTTGTTTTAAAATAATACAATATGGGTGTTTCAAAACAATGCAGAGATATACTGTATTATTTGGTAAGAATTTGAATGATTTTATTATAATTTTGTTTATAATTTAGGGTGATTGTCACGGGGTTAATCAATATAGGGTAAGCTATAACAAATATCTGGTTCAGGGTCATTATTATACGATCAAATACTTGCTGAATTGTTTATTTATTTATTTAAGGTTAAGGTAAAGTAAGTGACAAAATAGAATAAGCGAAGAGTATCTTTATTAACTAATTATTCAATAATGAGCTCTAGAATCTATCTCTTTACACTTTACTTATATATTATTATTAATCGTTATCAATTATTACATTGTTCATGCAATTGTTATTATTACTAATCACTATTTCCCTATTATCTCATTGTACTGTTTGCATAATTTATCTATTGTATTTTGAAATTTAGAATAAAGTTTTGGAGTTTGAATAGAATTTAAAATTTATTTAATAATAATTAAAAACTGTAATTTTGTATAGAGTTTTAATTAGTTCTTATATTTAAAAAATAAAACTAGTTTTATAAAAGTATTAGCCAGCTATTAGCTAGCCATTTAGTCACAATTTAATCAGCTGGCTTAGCTAGCTGACCAAAACCTTGTGGCTTAAATCACTAAATGCAAGGCAGGAACTAGTGTTACAAGCTGGCTAGGGTAGCCGTGGCTAAGGCAGCTGATATAATATGATCGGCTGGCTAATGTGGCTTAAGATCACATAACTCTAGTAGTATAATTTAGGCCAGAACAATAATGTCAGACAGAATTAAATAACAGAAAGCAAGGATCTAAAAGTTTTCAAAGAAAAAATGAACCAACATCAAAGACAAGCAAAGTTGAGAAAAAAAATTGGAGTAATTTTCAATACAGTCAGACCTCTATAAATGCAACACATGTTCTATGAAAAACCTCTATAAATGCATGGCCTTGCTATGTCTCTACTACATATACACTTATAGATTTTTATCTCTTTAAATGCAATACCTTTATAAATGCAAGATTTTTTAAAATTTCTATATAGTCTGTGCAAATTGCATTTAGAGAGGGTTGACTATATCTTCTGAAGTAAAATTTTTTTTGCTTACTTTAGCTATTAGCAGCCGCTAAGCCGATTTTTTTATCGGCTGACTTAGCTAGCCAATAAAAACCTTATAGCTTGTAACACTAGCAGGGATAATGATTTTCTGCAGTGAATAAAGCAAAATTCTGCGTGTGATTAATTAAATTTTTGTGATATGACGTGATGTATTTTGGGCATATTCTGTGAAATTCTGTAATATCTCTCTTAGTAATTTTTATATAATTCCACAACTCCCCGACTGACATGCTCGTAATTTATGTTGGTTTATTGTCTACATTTCCAAAATTTCCCAATACCGACTTAAATTTATGGTATGCTATAATATTTTAAAATTCTGTAATATTCTGTGCTATTTTTTCTTAAAATTCTGTAAATTCTGTGACATTCTGCAGTAACCAATAGTGATTTCTGTGGTTTGCTGTGTTTAAGAAAAATTCTGTAGTATTCTGTGAAATATAACAAATCATCATCCCTAATGCAGAAACCTGTAAAAATTGTTTTTAAAAATGGCAAAAATGGTTTGAGTAATACCAAAAAAGGTTTTTTATTGCAATATAAAAATTTTATCTAATTTTGATTGAAATTTATCATTTGTAAAAAAAATTAGAAAATAAATATATTTTCAAAACAAGAATATCATTTCTAGTTCTTGATAGATTGGTAGTACATACTGTACTACCAAAGATCAAAAATTTTTTGTATACATGAAGTTATACAACCAAATATGCAAATATGATTAGCATAGAAAAATTGTCAACCAATCAAATTTGTAAATTTTGTCATACAGCATAAGAAATACATAATATTGTTTTAAATTGTGATTTTCAATAAAAATTATGAAAAAATGGTTTCTAATCTTTTCGAAACATTGCTGTTACAAATTAGCTAGAACCTCTAATAATCTTATATAAAGTTATATGTGAAAAATTGCTAATATGGGCCTTTTTTTAAAAAAGAGTTATATTTGTAAAGTAGGTATAGATAAAAAGGTTATATTTAAAAATAGATAATCACTAACTAGGATATATTTAAAATTATGCTAATAGAATAAGTATTATAAATTTATAAATCTTATTTAAAATATACTAATAATTCTTAATGATGTCTCTATATTATACAAACTAAACAATATCGAAGTAAACCTAGCCAAGTCTGATCTACTTCATATTCTTCCTAAAAACTCCAAAACAACAAATCACACATTTACCTACAATAACCAAATAATTACTCCTAGAAAACCTGAAGATGTAATTAGATATTTAGGTATCTTCTATGATGGTAAAGGATCAACCAAACCAACTCTCGATACACTATACAACAAAATAGAAAACTTTTTACTTCTTATTAAATACAAAAAACTCTTACCCTCTCAAATTTTCTCACTTTTCAATCTTATATTACAACCTTCCTTAGAATATCTGCTTCAAATCATACCTATCCAAAAAAATATACAAACTAAACTCTCTCGACTACTATCCATACAAACAAAAAAAATGCTCTTATTAGCCAAAAATACCAACAACATCTCACTTACTAATCCACTCACCTTCAATTTACGTACTTTTACTAACATAATTCAAAAAGTTAACATATTTAATACTGAACGTACTTTTAATACCTCTTCACTCCTTCATAATATTGGTATTATTCGAATTAAGTCCTGGCTAACAAAAATATGACACCCGGAACTCACTGAAGAAATACTGCTTACACATTTTTATAAAACACAAAACTATACTCTTCTTTTTCATCTTGCTCAATTAGCAAGAAACAAGATAATAATCTCCTTACCCTCTTCAATCACTAGCCATTCTACTTCTGTTCCTAAACACACACACTTAATTTACAATATACTTCATCCATCTCCTAATAATCTTATACTTAACAGTCTTAAAAATAACAGAATCCTATTCATAGAACAAATTACAACAGCAAATAACAA